TGTATTGTGAGTGATTTGTGAGAATTTGGTTGTTTCGTCGAGAACGAATGAGAGAGAAAGTTGAAAATTAATGGCAATTTAATAAATGGACGTTTCCAGGATTTGACTATGACTCGACTTGCGAGGCTAGTTTTTGTTAATAGTTTGACATTGTAAAAATAGAGACAGTTTGTCTCGCTAGATTATCTGTTTTAAACAAATTGGCAAAATATATCTATTTTTAGATAAATAAAAAAAAAATGTGGAAAAAGGAACGGGCAATTATTCTCGAATTTTTAGTACTGAACATATCCATCCAAAAAAAGATAACGATGAAAAATTCTGCAGTGACACTATCGACTGAATCTCCGCGCTTTACTATCCATCCTCCACGATTCCACAGCCTTAAAAAAAAAAAAAAAAAAAATCCAAACTAATTTTTACCCTGCGCAACTCCGCCTTGGTCATCCCTGGCTGCGTATGAGATTCAACCTCCTCCTCGCTGCCTGACATCTTGTAATTATAATAATCCACCATTGATGCACTCTCTGTGGTCGATCGAATCACTATAACGAATCACCACACAACACGAATAAACGAGTTTCAACACGTGTAAATCGCCTTTTGTTATTTTTCTCTTCTTAATAAGATCCAAGATCCCACGTGAATCGACAACGATACCGCACTTTTTCGATTTCGAATTTTCGTGTCCGTTGTGCGTTCACGACGTGTGATTTTTCACGTATTCTCACCTCTCATCGTTGAAACAAAACTGAAACTTTCGCGTAGAAGTTTGCGGTGAAAGGGGGATGATCGCCGGCTACCGGCGACGTCCCTCTTGGGGTGTGGAGGGTAACTGTTTGACGTTTTCGATTTCGAAGACCGCATGCCGATGCACTCACCGTGTCTAGAGTGGGGTGAAGTGCGTTCTGGAGTGGGGTTCTGGGATAGAATCGGTAGAGGGGAGGTCCTCGGGTCCTCCTGAGACCTGTTGATGTGTGGGAATTCACGCCGTCCCCTGGGACACGGCGATATAGTCTCCTTCGAAATTTGAGTCTCTCTCCTTTGGTGCTCCTTTCATCGTCTTACACGCAGCTCTTTTCTTCGATGGGAGACGCGACGGAGGAAAAAAAAATTTGAGGAAAGATGAGTAGTAGTGGCGTTCGTGAACTTTGCACGAACTTTTATATCAGAGACGAGAGAGTTTTGTTAGATGAACGTTAGTGATTAATTTAAAAAAATAGAAATTTAAAATGGATATAGGATGGAACACGGAGATCTTTAATGGAGACGAAAAATAAATTAAATAATGAAAGAATAAATTAAATTTTCGTACGTATAAAATATTGAGGCAAGATTATTAGAATTCTTTATTTTCTTTGTGGAATATATATAGAGAATCTGAAATAACAATGTATATATATAATCTACGTAAAAATATCTTGTTTTGTAATCACAATAATATATAATTAAAAATAATTAACGTTACGGTATAGTACAGTAATTTCTAGTCATAGTCGTTTTATATAAGACAATAATAATAGTTAGATAATAAATACAACGTACTATAATCTTGATAGTATCGATGAAATGTATCCTGATAAATCTTTTTATTATCACAAACAAGGCCAATTACGAGTATCTACTATTATCTCGTAAAAAAGAAAGAAGAATATACACATCAAATTAAAAATCTTCGAACCTCCATTCTTTTATTTCTCTTCCTCTCAATCATATCTATATAACTCTTTCATACATCTATATAACTCTAACAGAAAAATTAAAAAAGATTTCTCCTACTATATCAAAAAAAAAAAAAAAAAGAGAATCTTAAAATCTTTTATCATTCCAAATTTTTAATAAATTAACCAGAAAATTCCCAAATTTTTTCTTAAATCTTTTATAAATTTATACTCTGTAATTTCCATACGCCAATCAATCTCAATTTTACAAATTCTTATCAGCCAAACCGGAAA